AATGCACAGAAGGCAGCAGGCAGGGTAATAGGCAGTATTTTGCAATACATGCCGTTTCCTTAATCTCAGTGTAAAGGATTATTTTATTCATTTGCATTCTGATTATGGAATCCAGAATCATGCTCACTGCCTGCATCTGAAATAAAGATGCTGACACTGCTGTCAAGCTTATGCAACTATCTGTGGAAGCACACAACCTGAACTCCTCAGTAAATTCTAAAATAGCAATGTTTGAACTGAATTTCTATGTGTCATGACTATAAAGAAGTTCTAATACTTCAGGCTGTGTTTTATAAATACTGAAACACTATTTTCTTCACCCAAGTTGACTGTGAAACTTAAGGAAAAGTGGCCAGGAGGAGACTTTTTTCCATGAGCTTGGAAACTGACTGGAGTTCTGTCTCCATCTCCTCCTTTCTCTCAAAGGCAAAATGATCCAGGAAGTTGCTGGGATGAAGTTAAGGTGACATGTGCAGTTGGTCTCTTCAGGTGTTAGGGAGAGCCCCCCACCACCTCCTGTGACATTCCTTTTCACTGGCAGTTGCATCTGTGGTGCATTTGTAGATGGGGTGCTGGGGGGAACAGCAGCGTGAGGAGTGCTGGGTTAGCTCCCTGATAGCTGATCACCGTACCTAAACTGGGTGTCTGGAAATGCTGAAATTCTGTGTCTGAAGTAAGATGAGCTCACCCCCTCAACAGTGAGGCGAGGGTGTGCCTGGTGAGAGTACTGCCACAGTGGTTTAGATACACAGGAGTAACGTGGCCCTTGAAAAGGCAGGTCCTGGCTGCTTCCCCCTGCTGCCCTGTAGGGACACAAAAGGGATCCGGCCAGGCTGGACTGATGGGACAAGGCCAAGGGGATGAAGTTCAGCAAGGACAAGTTCTGTGTCCTCGTGTCACAACAACCCCCTGCAATGCTCCAGATTTGGGGAAGAGTGGCTGGAAACTGCCCGGAGGAAAAGGACCTGGGGGTGTTGGTCAAGAGGTGGCTGGAGATGAGCCACCATCGTGTGCCCAGGTGGCCAACGTGGCCACCAGCATCCTGGCATGGATCAGCACTAGTGTGGCCAGCAGGAGCAGGGCAGGGCACTGGGGAGGCCACACCTTGAATCTGTCTTAAAGGTCTCTTCACACCTGACCAATTCTATAATTCTAAGTTCAGTTTTCATCTGCTTAGATACTTGATGTGTCTTACTGTAAAAACAGTTATTATCAATATAAGGGAGAGAACAGGGAGCAAGCAGCTGGGGGCAAAGTTGTATGCTGGACTACTGTTTAAAAGTTGACAAGCTACTTTTGAACTGTTAATTTTAAAAAATATTTTTTATGATCCCAGATACCTACTACTCCATACCCTGTTAGGGCTGTCATCTGGCAGTTCTTGTGTGGAGTTGGTACAGTACAGCAGTACAGATGAACATGAGATCTTTTTTTTGGTCTTTAAAACTTAACCTCCTTGTTACAGGGGAAGGGTCCCACAGAAATAAGGATGAAGCTACTTATGAGAACTCTGCACGATTTTGTACCTCTGAAAAGAGGGTTGCTCACAAAGCCATGCAATGAGGCACCTATGGTGATTTATTCTTTTGTAGAAAAGCGTGGAGAAGATTGCTTCCTTCTGCATGGTGTATTTAAAAAAAAAGGAGGGGCAAAAAAAGAAGTCTTTTCATTTAAGAGCTTCATAGTTCAGTCCTCAAACTTTTGCTTGTTTCATGGAGTGAGACAGGTATTTTGTGTTAGAGCTTGTGCTTCTGCCTGTGAATTTAAGATAGCATATCTCTATGAATTTAAGATAGATTTTTAGATTCCTTGTTTTAGAATAACACTGCTCTTGTGTCGAGTATGGGTGGTACCAAGGATAACAAGTGTGAAACAGGAACGATGCTTCACCATGTTCCTCAGCAAGGCCTACCTGAGGTACTCCTGGTTCACCTGTGCTTATCCCTCTTTTCCTTCTAGAATATGATATCAAGTTTCCGTGTGTCTGAGCTGCAAGTGCTGTTGGGCTTTGCTGGACGTAACAAAAGTGGTCGAAAACATGACCTCCTGATGAGGGCACTGCACTTGCTGAAGAGTGGCTGCAGCCCGGCCGTTCAGCTGAAGATCCGCGAACTGTACAGGCGCCGGTACCCCAGGATGATCGAAGGACTCTCGGACTTGCCTGCCATCAAACCCGGGGTGTTCAACCTGGACAGCAGCTCCCCTCCTGTCGAGCCTGACCTGGCTGTTGCTGGCATTCACCCCCTCCCGTCGACTTCAGTCACGCCTCAGTCTCCCGCCTCGCCCGTCAGCCCCGTGCTGCTCCAGGACGCTAAGCCCCACTTTGACATGCAGCAGCCATCCCCGCCCATTCCACCCGTGCATCCTGACGTTCAGCTGAAGAGCCTGCCTTTCTATGATGTGCTGGATGTGCTCCTGAAACCAACGAGCCTGGGTGAGTGCTGGAGAGCTCTCAGCTTGCTTAACTCACGGAAGAGGTGTTGCTTGTGACAGTAGTAACTCCAGGCTTAAATGGCTTTTGGCATCTGGGGAAGAGTGGAAACTCCCTCCTCTTCTCATCTGTACCCTTGCCTGCTCTTCACCACTTGTCCCCAGAATTGCAAAGCCATGCTTCAGAAAAGTGTTCTCTTTTGTAGCTAATGTATGATTAAAGATCTTTGTAGTTTGAATATTAAATAATAGAGTAGAATAGTTCAGTTGGAAGGTACCTGCAATGAAGATCAAACTGCCTAACCACTTCAGGGCTGACCAAAAGCTAGAATTATAACTGGGGGCATTGTCCAAATGCCTCTTAAGCACAGGCAGGTGTGGGGCATTGACCACATCTCCAGGAACCCTTTCGTGTCTTTGACCGCCCGCTCGGTAAGTCAGTGTTTCCTAATATGTCATCTGAACATCCACTTCTGGCAGAAAGATTTGGGCCTGAAGTCTCTGTCTGCTACAAGAGAGGAACACAACTGTTCAGGGCCAACAGGAAAAGGGTTTCAGAAACAGTAATTAATAAGTAGCAACAAGACTAAGGGAAAAAAATCACTGGTTTATTACTTGAGGCTTACTTCACTGCAGACTCTGACATCTGTCTGGCTCTGACACGGATACATTGTGCAGTGAGGTTCAGTGTTGCACTTATTGAATGTTTCTCAGCCTATAGGTTGTTGCCATGCTGTATGTCAAAATGTAAAGCAGTCATTTATCATAACCTGGAATCTCATTTTAGCTTCCTCAAGAGTCTCACTCTTAAACATATTGAATTATTTGGAATTATGTTGTGTTCTGTGTCGACATGATTCAACCTGTCTTAACTCAGATGGTAGAAAATATTCCCTAAATATTCAGTGATATTGTTTAGAAACCCTTTAGCATTTGGCAAGCTGTTTGCATCCTGTTAAACAGTTTAACTTACAGAGATTTCTAGGCTGTGATTTGTACCTTGGTGAGGCATAAGATGATCATTGGTCATCCTCCAGTACCCAAAGCAGCAAGCACCACTGAGAAGCATTATTTGCAATGGCTGTTGTCCCTTCTGTTTGTGTGCTTTGACAGCCTGTTAGAGAAGAGTCTGCTGTTGACCCCCTGTGCTGGTACAGGGGCTGCTCTGGTGTTGGACAGCTCTGTGGCTCATGCTGTGTCAAGGGCCAGGGCTGGGCTGGCCACTGGATGAATGACAGATGCTCTCTGTTCACTCCTCTCCTTTCCCAAAGGGGAAGAGAAAGGAAATAAGGGAGAGAGAGACTTAAGGATTGGGAAGGAAAACTAAACCAGCTTTAATGAAATTAATAACAATAAATGGAATGTATACAAATAAACCCAGTATTGGACCCATCCCCCCTGGTGGCAGTGACAGTCACCATCAGCACTGATGCTGAGGAGCAGGCTCTGGGGAAGTCTCAGGCTGGACCTGGCAGCAGAGGGGAGCGGGGTTCAGGAGCTGGGTTCTAGCACTGCACTCAGAGACACAGGGATTGGGATCGAGGGCAGAATGGACAGAGCTCTCCTCAGACACTGGCCACTGGAGAAGAGGCTGGACCCTGGGGATCCCTCAGCTTCATTAAGCTAAAAGGAGGTTGTAGTGACGCTGGTGTTGGTCTCTTCTCCCGAATTGCTAATGGTAGGACGAGAGGAAATAGTCTCAAATTGTGCCAGGGGAGGTTTCGATTGGATGTTAGGAAGAATTTCTTCACTGAGGTAGTGGTTGGGCACTGGAACGGGCTGCCCAGGGGGGTGCTGGAGTCATCGTCCCTGGAGGTGTTCAAAAAACCAGTAGATGTAGCACTTGAGGCTATGATCTAGTGGCTAGGGAAAGGCTGGGAGGTTGGGAAGGTTGGACTTGACAATCCTGGAGGTCCTTTCCACCCATAGGGATTCTGTGATTCTATGATTCATCCTGAACGTGGTGTACATGGGGTGGAATCCCTCGCTGGTCAGTTTGGGGTCACCTGTCTCGGCTGCTCCTCCCTGCAGGTGCCACCTCTTCCTCACTGCACCCCCAGCACGTACCTGAGGTGTAGCAGTGACCTTGGTCTGCACTGGAGCAGGTACAACAAGAGCCTTTCTGCACACCCCAGCCCCTGGTGGTACCTCCAGACATGGGGTGTGATCACTGCTGGGAGCAGAGACTGGCTGCAGAGACACTCTGAACTTCAGACAGGGCAGGGAGGGAGAAGGGGCTGAGCTGGGAAGTGAACTCACTGGGCTGAACTGGTTCTGTTCCAGCTCAAACCAGGATGTGGTGCCATTACCTTTCCAGAGATAGCCTGTCAGTGCCATGATGTCCTGTCTGGCTTCTGCTTGTGTTCACTGTGTGCAGCAGCTGAGATCTGAACTAGCTTTTTGAGCTAGTCTGTGTTGTGGGACAACTGCTGCCTCATAGTTAACCAGAATGGTGGCCAGCCACACAGTGACTTTGTCCCACATAATGCAGCCTGTGGTCCCCAGTATATTTCTGCTAAGCAGTTAACCTCTTGTTTCCTGGTGAATGATACACAGAGGTGGTGGTGACATGCTAGAAATTTCCCTAACAGCTGTTTTCTTCAACTTTGGAAATGATCCTTTTTTTCTGAAAGGAGAATGCTTCCTTGGAGGTGTCACCACGTTATCATTAGAGCTGCCTGTCAGCTCCCTTGACGTCTGTAAACTCTCTGTTGTACATTGCCTGCATTGCACAGGAGTGAGGACTGATTGTCTGGTCCTGTTACATTTGGGTCCCCCTGGGACCTGGGCGAGGAGAACAGGATTTAACTTGACTTGGCACTTCCTTGCCTTCAGCTGCTTTCCAGAGCAGGGTACCTGAAGGTGGCAGTGCCCAGAGCTGCAGCTGTGGTCTGTGTGAGAAGGGAGATGCCAGGATTGGCTTGATATGCAAATAATGGGCTCTTCTGATGTTAGAAGGAAAGGCAAGTTGGCTGAAAATTGCTCTTAATGTGGATTCATGAGCAAATTTGGAAAAGAGGCTGCTTTTATTTAGTATTTTTAGATTGATATGTATAGCTTGTAGTCCCAGTTAGTAGACCCAAGTAGGATACTCCTATGAAAGTTGTGTTTATTTTACTGATTTACTTTTCTTCCAAATGCTGCTGAGGAGTAATTCCCAGATACAATGTCTAGCTGGCTCATCTGGCATCAGGGGTTGTTCTCCCTCCCTTCCTTCCCAAAGACTTGGTTACCTTTAGCTTTTTCTGAACTGAGTATTTCCCATCTGTCCATTAACGAGTTCTGGTGCATATTCTCTTCTTGTAGTATGTTAAAATGGTTGTAAACATTTTCTCTGTGATGCTCTCTTCATCAGGCATCCAGTGCTGCGTGTTGTGTGTGTGTGTTTGAACTTCCTCCCTGGGGAGGAGGGATTATGACACGACTTGCCAAGCTCATCCAGTGTAATGTGATAGTAAGCCACCTGAATATAGCTCAGTGAATGATTTGTTCCCTTGCTTTCCTGTTGACAGTTACACACAGTTCAGCTGCAGTTTAAGTGACAGATGCCACGTTCCAGGAAAACTCAATTGCAGATCCTTCTTTTATCAGTGACTTTAATCATCTTTTTGTGTCTCTTTTTTTTTTCTAGTACAAAGCAATATTCAGAGATTCCAAGAGAAGATTTTTATCTTCGCTTTGACACCTCAGCAAGTCAGAGAAATCTGCATTTCCAGGTAAGAAGTTAGAGTGTGGCATAACACAGATACACATTTGCACAGTTTCAGGAGAAAGTGTGGGTGCTTTGGTTCATTTCATGCACTGCAGATAGAGTGATAATCCTCACTGAAGTTAGGCTGAGTTTATCTGCTCTGTTTCCTTTGGGAGCACAGAATTGATGTGCAGTTGGAGTAAATCCTATGCCACTAAAGAGTTAACAGTTACTCTGTTCCAAATAGCTGTGACAGTTCAGAGAGGTGGTAAGCTCTTCTTCCCTGATGTTTCCACCCTGCAGGAATGGAAGGCTGCTTTTATCTTTTGTCCCGGGGTTCATGTTGTTGCAAGACCTAATGGTGTGAGCCAAGAGAATTCACAGGGTTTTTTCCTCTCTGGCAGCATCATACTTTATTGCTACTATAAAATCCTGACAGAGGATGCCAGTCCTTAAGTTCTGCTGAACTTGCAGTATCTAAACAGAGGTGTTGCTCCTAAGACTTGTTCATAGCTCAATAAAAGAAAAATAAGAGCAAAGTTTATTGGTGTTGGGGCAGGTGTGCTGGTTCTTTCTGCGTACGACCGGATTATGAGACCTGCTGTCTAAACAGGCACTTTTCTTTGTCTTCCTCTTTGTCACAGGGACTTCTTGCCAGGAGGCAGGAGGGATTACACAGTCCAAGTTCAGCTAAGGTACCTTTTTCATAGTGTCCTTTTGCAACTTCTTGATGGGCTAATGTAACATAAATCTAAATGTTTGTGGGGACATATGACAATGGTGATGCTTGAAAATGTCTCTTTCTCTTTTTTGGGGATATAGGTTGTGCCTAGCAGAGACAAGCTGCCCTCAAGAAGACAATTACCCAAACAGTCTGTGTATTAAAGTGAATGGGAAGCTGTTCCCGTTGCCGGTAAGCTTGTTTGTGTGTATTTCCTGGATTCTTTGTGACTTGTGGGTTTTTTTCTGTAATGTGAGCTTGCTAAAACAATTAAGCTGTTCCTTATTGCTCAAATTTCTCTAGTTATTCATGTTAGACATGGGGTTTGCACATGCAAATGTGATTGTTCTAGTAATGGCCATGGCCACAGAGGGGATTAACTGTGCTTTAGCCACCTATAGCAAACCTCATCTGCTGCAGTTAATTATATGTCAGAAACAAGCCTTGAGGGAATCCTCTTCAGAGGTCTTCAAACCAAGTTTGCTAACTGGGGGGACTGGTGGTACCCCTTGCTGTTGGAGCTGTCTGTATTTGTGACTGGCTTGAGCTCCCTCTGGTTTGGAGGGAATGACTTCACCTTCTTTTGTACCAGCCTGCACGCTGCTCTGCCTCTCTGGTTAAAGCAGAATTCGTCGTGGGGATGAAGAACAGAGGTACCTGGGGGTTTGTAGGGTTGGCTGATGCTGGAACAGAGCAGCGTTGGCAGCCATACCTGTTACTGGTGTCTGGTGGAGCACAAGCTGGTACAGAGGCAGGGTGACCCAATATTGGATATATACAGGAGGGAACAGTGCTGTCATTACTCTTGACACACTCTGCACACACAATGGAGCAGAGTCAAACTCTTAGGCAACCCATTCTGAAGTTGCTCTGGAAGCTACAGCAGGTGGAAGAAGTAGTAGTACCGAGGGTTTTTTCACCAGTGGGTTTGGAAAAGTGCTGTGTGGAGAAAGGACTTACAAGACTTCCTTTTTGGAATGTCTGTCACCTTCTTGGTATGTCAGGTGTGTTGTCCTGTACCCTCCATAGGCAACCATGTCTACTTTTTTCACCTCTACTCAGCTCAAATTAGACTGTCTAGCTTCTCTTCCCCCTGCTTCTTTAACCACTGCATCACTCTTCTTCTATCTGCCTTCAGTGTGTCAGAGGATTTCTTTCATATGTTTCTTGCCAGTGTTTTTCTGCAAATTCCAGTTATGTTCTTGGTGATAAACTTGAGGATTTTCTGCTTTCTTCTGCAAACTGTCTGTCTTTATTTAAGCAACCTGCCAAAAAGAATCGGGTCTGGTGCTGTCCTGTGGGCATCAATGTCTGCTGGCTCTCAGTCTTGCTAATACAGCTTACACCCTGCTGTGCTGTGTTCTGCTATCCATTTCGTGCATGACACTTCACAGCTGCAGCAAAAATTGGTTTTAACCCTGGATTATTGCTTTGCTTTAGGTGTAAATCTGTAGGTACTTCTTCCACATGGTAAGATTATTCTTTAATCTGTTCAGCAGAAACTTTAGGTGAGAAAGTGAGTGAATGACAATTGTCTGGGCAACTTCCTTTCCTCTCCTCCTTCAGTATAAGCTGAATGACAAATAGAGTCTCGGCCCAAGTGCTCCTGTGAACTTCTCTTTGTTGATCTGGTCACTGTCTGCATCCCTCTGGCAGTTCTTTTCTGTTGCAGGAAGTGCAAGGTAACTTCCTTCCCTCAGACCACTGTCTCCAGCTGGGCAGTGTCAGCGTTAGGTAAAGATGATGCCAGCCTGAATTGACAGCTTTCCTCATGTGGTTCTTGCAAGAAGTGTGGAAGACTTAAGACACAGATAATGTTGGCACTTGGTAGCCACTGGAATTGTCAGCCTTACTAACAAGTGCTAGGTTGTGATAGGCAAGTGGGATGCTCTCAACTCCTGGAAGGCTAGGAGGGGAAGGTTTTAAAGTGTTCTAGATTGAATCTGATGTCAGGGTCACTGCTCTGTGGAAGGGAACATCAGATGCTGGACTGAAATGAGGCACGTGTGTTGCACAGCTTGTCTTTAAAAAACAAAAAAAATGGTGATTATAAGAGAACTTCCATCCTTGCTTTGTTGAGGGCAAGGCAGCTTCACTTTTGGTTGTAGATCAGCAGTATTATTGTGGCTGGTATGGTATGTGTGGAAATGCTTTCCTAAATGTTGCAGTAATGATGTCTTTGCCCACATAAACTCCTTATAAAGTCACCATAGTAGAGGAAGGCCTACTGCAGCAAAGCAGCTGAGATAGATACTCTGTAAATGGCTGTGGCTGTTATGTCTGATTAAAGAAAAGGCAAATCATTCATTCTTTTAAGTATGAAATTGCCAGCAGTCCCCATATATGTGCTGCCTCTATGTTCTGCAGTAAACCACACGTGTTAAGATTCCTGAGAGCTACTGGGTCACTCATCTGGGGTAAGAACCATTTCAGAGAGAAGTCTTCAGAAGTTGCTGGCTGCAGCTCTGGTCTGGCAGAACTGCCTGTAGAAACTTTTGAGTCCTGTTGTGTCCCTGCAAGCAACAGTCCTGTCTGAAATTGATGAAGGGCAGTGGTGAGGTACAGGCAGGGCTTGGTTGTCAGGTGGAACTTAATGGACTAGTCATAGCACTGCTTTGGAAGCCTGGGAGATGATGTGACAACTATCAAGTTCTCCCTGGATTAAAGGCAGTGATTATCTTATGCTGTACTTGGCTAGTGAGTGCAATCACAGAGTTGTTCTGCTTGGAGAAAACCTTTAAGATCATCAAGTCCAACCCTTCCCCCAGCACTGCCAGGTCCCCACTGCCCCGTGTCCCTCACACCACATCTCCAGGGCTTGGAAACCCCTCCAGGGGTGGGGACTCCTGGCAGCCCGGGAGAGGCCTTCACAACCCTTTTGGGGAAGACATTTCATGTCCAACTTAAGTCTCTCTTGGCACAACCTGAGGCTCTTTCCTCTTCTTCTTGGGAAGAAGAGACTGATCCCCCCCTGGCTCCAGGCTCCTGTCAGGAGCTGTGGAGAGCCAGAAGGTCTCCCCTGAGCCTCCTGTGCTTCAGGCACAGAGGAGATGGGCAGCTCTTGGAACAAGACTTTGTTTCTTAAATAGAATGGAGGAAGTATCTAAAAGTAGCAAGTCTGTTCA